TGAATTGGTTTATCCATGGCGATCGCTGGCATACGTTTTAGCGAACGTTATATACTATATTAAATTCGGAAAAAAGCTGTATATTAAATTAGCTAGTGGCCACTTCTCGACATATGAAATAGATGTAAGTTAACTAACTGTGAATAAAAGTCCTAAGATATTGGAAATATATACTGATTAATTAGAGTGTGCTCGTCTCAAAATAAACTTAACTAATTAATATCCTAGGAATCATTCCACTTGTTAACTGAAATAGATTATGTTTTTTTTTTTTTTTTGTCAACAAAATAGATTATGCTATACTTCGCGTGTTGAAAGATTAACTCGTGAATAAGATCTCCAAATGTAAGTATATCTTATTGCGAATTGCTTAGATCTCCTTAATTTGCTGCGAAATTTCTCATCAAGAAGTAAGTCAAGAGACAACGATTTTATTTAATAGTATTATGAAGCATTTGATTGAAGCTTTGTTTGTAGTTTATACCTATATATATAATAGGTGTCTTCGTCGAGTGTTCGACTCGGTTTGTGTTTTCTGACTGTTCAATAACATGATGTCATTAACTTGTGTTATGGACTAATTACGAAACGTTAAACATTTTTGTTTAGTTGCTGACCAGTGCATTAGTTCTTACATCAGTTTTGTTCTTTACTTTATTTAACGTTCGAAAATTACATGTTTGGTAAACTGGGAATACAATATTTTCGAGAAGTTCAACGTATTCTTTAATCTCTTAACCAATTCATAGTAGTTTAATAGACCTAGTAATATAATGAATTTCATTTTACAAACATAGTATTGTACGTGCTACTCAATTCTAACCATTTGTCTAATTAACTAACCACATTTATATTTACTATTTGATTCTAACGAATTTAACATGTCTAGCTATAAATTAAAACACAGTCAATTTGAACATGATTCTAACCGATTCAAACCAATCCAAATTGGTATAGGTCATATTTCAATAGTATTTCCTGATAATTGAACCTTAACAGTTGGAAAATCAACCGCGGAAAAAAATGTTGAAATGTGTGGTATCTCTATACAGACTATACTATTTGGAATATATAGTATCATGTTTGACATTTTTATTAAAAGAAACAAAAAATTGAAATGTGGTATAAAGGATAATGGAATAGACAATAGTGAAGGTCGATACTCCCTAATAACATGAAACCAATTAACATGTAAAACTATTTGCAACAGTCTCATTTTTAGTACTCCCTTATTATTTATATATATGAAGTGAAATATA